GGGAATTTCTCTTGAAGGCTCTTATAGTGGGCATGAACTAAATTGCTTGCTCGATTGCTGGTTGTATTGAACGGGACAACAAAGGGTGCTATGCCTACATTATGGTGAATATTTAATCCTATAGGTCTTGCTGTATTCAATGACTCAATCCAATGGGCTTCCCTATAGATACCTTTTGCCACAGATTGACTCTATTCAAAGGCCCGTCTATAGTCAACAAGCGTGCAAAATAGCCTTTTACCCGTACTTAAATAGAGATCTATTAAACATTTAAGGGTGTATATATGATCTATCGTGGAGAACCCCTTTCTAAAACCTGCCTGTTCTTGGCCAATAACATTGTTAGCATCTAAAAACTGTGTCAGTCTCTCATTTAAAAGTGATGTAAAGAGTTTCCCAAGACAGCTAAGTAATGTTATTCCCCGGTAAATATCAGGGTTTTTGGGGCTGCCTTTGTTTTTGTAGATGGGTTGAATGATGCCCATGGTCCATGTGGATGGGATATGTCCAGACGATATAGAATAATGTTCTGGTAAATAGGTACCATAGGTGAATGATACATTTGAGAAAATCATTTAGCACATTGTCAATTCCAGGTTATTTATAGAATTTTAGTTTATTAACACAATTGAGTATTTCTTCCTGGGTAAAATCTTCATTTAGTAAGGAATTGTCAACATTTTGGATTTAATCATTCTCTTGTAATAGGAACTCTTCTGCCTGTGCTGGGATTTCATCGCTGGCATTCAACTCTCGAAAGTGAAAATGTTATCAAGTATAATAGCGAACTTACATATCAATTAGCGATGGATTTATATTTTAATTATTGATATAAATAAAATATTAAATCAACTTATATTATCATATAGCTAATCGATTATTGGACGGATAATACTAATCGAACAAATTGGTTGCTTATGGTGGGAATATACCAGATTTTCCGACGAGTACTTAAAGATGTTCTTGTCGTTCGTGGTAAAACCTTGCTTATTGTTCGATTAATTGGTGATTAATGTATAAATCAAGTATAAATATGTTAAATCTGTTGTTTTGTGTTGGTTGAAAAACAATGTTTGTATTCTTCACACACAGCTGACAGAACAAGGTCGCGAGTTTAATTCAATTCTGTTTAATGGTTTCAAAATGTTCAAATTTTTCTTTAATTGTTGAATCGTTGTTTTAAATGTTATCAAATTCATTGTCACCATGAATATACATGTACATGAATAAATGTTATATTGATGAAGTCATGGTGTATTCATTAAGGTATTAAAGGCTGTGTGAGAACCAGTGCAAATTCAAGTTGGTGCGTAGTGTCCTTGTATAGTACGTTAGACATACGAAAAGTTTCAGAGCCATATATGGTAGCTGTTTTGGTCTATAGTCTATATTCGGCCGAGTACTGTCTGTATGAATAAAATCTGCCTTCAAATGAAATGAAACATCGTTCTTCTTTGAGTCGAAAGGTCGTATATCCTTACATTTTGAAACAATCTAAAATTCTATATGACACAAAATATCGTATATCGTATTATTGAACATTTTTTATAAACGTTTAAATCATTGCCAAGTAAATGTTATGTACATGTAACATGTTGCCCATGTAACATGTTGGAATACTTTAAAACATTAATGCAAAACAAGTAATTAGCATATATATTATACTCTTCAAAAAAGAAACGCATAATTGAATTTTGTGGCTGATAATAAAACAAACACCAAGGATAGAAAATAAGATATTTTATATAAGTAAGTAGAGATGAATGGTCGAGAGACGTTTAAAAAGTTCACAAATTATTAAACGTCTCGAGACCTTTAACCTACTTAAAATACAGTCACTGATTACATTTTGCAATGATTACAATTTAACCCTTGTGCTAGAACTTGGGGTATTTCGGGACCCCAGCACCGATTTTTTCGAATTTCCAAAATTCCATCGAAGATAGCAGTTTGGTTATTTAAAACATTGTAGCTGAATGAATTTTTAACCTGTTCATGATCAGTCTCCTGTGCAACAATCACAATTAGCGGATATGTTACCCTTTTAAATTGAAACACACCATGCTAGTATGTTTGGGTATATTTAGACCCCAGATAAATGCAGTGCTGAAACTGGATGTCAGTAAATAATATTAAATTGTAATCTGTCCCTAAAGCTAGTTATCTCCCTTTATTTACCACATGGTTTGCCTAGGTCACATTTGGTTGATAACATTGGATTTTTATCTTCATTTTATGTAAGTAACAATCTTTTTTGTGTTTCATAATAAGTTGATTTTATTTCAAAAACAAATATAATTTCTATAATTTTCTTTATTTATAATGTAAGTTCAGAAAAATCAGAAGTAATCATGTCCAGATTGTGCAAGCCATGATCAACAAGGCAACATACATATTTTCTTGAAGGTTGTGTGTTTGAAAGCCTGGGGTTCTTTTGGACCCCAAATAAATAAAAGTATTACATGCATCAGATAAATACTTTTTTGTCATTTCAGTATGTCGAGACAGTGTAAAATAAGTGCAAATGAAGTCTTGGAAAAGATTTTACAAGATGAAAGTGGTAGTGAATCAGAATTTTCTGATTGTGGATCTGAACCTCAATATTATCCACCACCTGATTCTGATTCTGATTCCACTACAAGCGATGCTGATGTGGCTGTAGATATTGATGAGTTGTCTGATAAATCAGGTGAATCTGAAAATGATGAAGCTGTTGAAAGTAATGATCTTGTAGGAAAGAGTGGCTTAGTATGGAGTTCTAATCCCCCAAAAATCCACAGACGCCAGGCTCAGGACATACTGAAAGAAAAGCAGGGTCCAAAAAAATGTGAATTGGTAATTAGTGCAAGGTCATCGCTTAGTTTATTCATCACAGATGAAATCATAATGATTATTGTTAGGTATACTAATCAATATGCACGATCTGTTTATCAAAGCTGGAATAATACTAATCCTGAACATGCTAAAGAGTGGAAACCAGTTGATGACATTGAATGTAGGGCATTCATAGGTCTTCTTCTCCTTGCTGGTGTTTATCGCAGTAATCATGAATCATTGAATGAACTCTGGAGTGTAGAAGCTGGCCGCCCTGTTTTCAGGGCAACAATGACCTTGAAAAGATTTACTACTATTCTGAGGTTCTGTCGTTTTGATGATAAAAACACCAGATTGCAGCGAAAGGAGGTAGATAAGCTTGCACCTATATCAGATGTCTGGGCAATGTTCAACCAAACTCTTCATAACCATTACAAACCAGGAGCATTTTTGACAATTGATGAGCAGTTCGTGCCCTTCCGAGGACGATGTTCATTTAGGCAGTACATGCAAGCCAAACCGGCTAAATATGGTTTGAAGATTTGGTGGATATGTGACTCAACCTCAACTTTTCCACTACATGGTCAAGTATACCTTGGTAAGGCTTCTGATGGTGTTCGAGAAGTTAATCAGGGATCACGGGTGGTTAGAGATTTGATGACGCCATGGCTGAACACAGGTCGAAATGTAACGACTGACAACTTCTTCACCTCAATACCACTAGCTAATGATCTTCTTTCAAACAACACAACAATTGTTGGAACCCTTCGAAACAACAAAAAAGAGTTACCACCTGAAATGAAACCGATTAATAAGAGAATACCACAATCTTCAATCTTTGGATTCTCTGATAATCTATCTTTGGTCTCTTACGTACCCAAGAAGGGCAAGGCGGTCAATCTATTATCAACTATGCACCATGATAAATACATTCCAGAGGATGGCAACCCTGCTAAGAAACCTGAGGTAGTACTATTTTACAACCAAACTAAAGGGGGTGTAGATAATTTAGATAAGTTGGTATCAACTTACACATGTCGTCGAAAGGTCCTTAGGTGGCCAATGGTGATTTTCTTCAATATGCTAGATGTAGCTGCTGTAGCCGCACTGCTAATCTGGATATCAAAGTTCCCACAGTGGAAAGTTGGTTTGAAGAGCCGAAGACGTGCATTCCTTTGAGAATTGGGAAATCAATTGACAAGTGAATTGATTGAAAGGCGATTGAATAATCCAAGGTGTTTACAGGCCGGAGTTAAAAGTGGTCTTGTATCTATCGGTTATAGTTTAACAGATATTCCACAACCTGAGGAACCAAGCAGTAAACGCAGATGCATCATTTGCCCAAGAGAGGCTGATAGAAAAGTCAAGTCTGTTTCTAATACTTGCTCAAGGCCCGTTTGTAAAGATCATTTTGCAAAGATAATAATATGTGAAGACTGTGCTGACAGATAAGATAACATTTTACTAAAATTTTGCATAATTTCTCCGGGGTCCTCAAGTACCCCAGGTGGTAAAATTTGAGTTTTTTATATATAATTTTCAAATTATCAATAAATGTTACAACCATATCAAGTTAAGTTAGCTATTTTTGAAATCTTGACCAATTGGTCAATAATTGAAATAAAGCAGATGCACTCTGCTCATCCCTAGCTCACAACCCGACCCTTATATAATATTCCAGATAATAAGTATGGCTTGAAACCAAGATGACTTTCACATATCGGTATAACTTTCATCTTGAACACTTTATTTGGTCAAAAAGGAGTCCTTATGAAGTATTATTTTCCATACCAGAGCATATATTTCATGTTCTTTTTTTGAAAATTCCCATTAAATAATAGGTGTCCCGAAATACCCCAGGTTCTATCCAATGTTATTTAAACGACGTGCTAGCACGAGGGTTAACCACGTGATGTTTAATTAAGTTGATAAGCACGGTTGTTAAAGAAAGAAACACGATAGAGCCAATAGTTATCGCTCTTTCTGATCACGTGACAGTCTAAATCTTACGCGCAAAAACCTTGTTATCAATGACAGTGTGCAATAATTTCTGGATTTGATTTTAAATTGATTTACCAAATTTGAATGTTGAATGGGCATCCCTTTCGGAATTCGGATTTATGTCTGATTTAGGGGAATTAATTGAATCAAAAAGTGACGAGGAACTATTAAAAGCCACGGCAGACATGGACAGACGATATAATCCACACTGTTCGGATGTAAGTGATTTTGAAAATTCCAAATATACTAAAAGTGACGAGGAATTAGTGCTATCTGCAACTCAAGTAGAGAACATGCGACCAGTGGTAGACAAAACTTATTCAACTAAACGATTTGCTGAGCCAATGACTGAACCGCAATTGAAATCACTTTCTTGGACTCGCCTTCCTGCTAATTCAATCGCTAAAAGCAATTGGGCTTTACGAACTTTCACAAACTGGAGATTACACAGAAATTCAATGAGAAGCAAACCTTGCGTAACGAAATTTCAACTAGAATTGCTTGAGATGGACAATAGTACGCTAAATGAAGCAATGGGCTATTTCATCACAGAAGTGAAGGTCAAGACGGACAGGAGAACAAAGGGGATACTATATATGATATTATTGTTGCTTTGCAATATTATAAGAGGGCCGATGGTAGGATTGTCAACCTCCTAGACGATAACGATTTCAGATATCATAAGTGAAGAATCAGAAGAAATTTTGTGGAGTAAGGGCTTCTTAGGTTCTGAAACGCCTAAGCAACTCTTGGATACTATCGTGTATCTCATTAGATTAAACTTTGCCCTCCGCGCTGGTAAAGAGCACAGTAATCTACGAGTTGGGGAAAATTCACAAATTAGAAAGTGTGGTGAAAGTGATTCCAATCGCTACCTCTTATACACGGAGGATGTGTCAAAGTCGAACCAGGGTGGTCTTAGACATCGAAAATTGGCTAAGAAGAGTGTTAGAGCTTACCAAATTAAGAAAACCCAGAGAGATGTCCAGTTCTATTGTTTGAAAAATATTTAAACTTCAGGTAAATAGTTTTGAGTTTTTGAAAGGATGTGCTCCTCTAAATAATTGCTGCTCCAACTTACTAACCAGGGTGGTCTTAAACATCGAAAATTGGCTAAGGAGAGTGTTAAAGCTTACCAAAATAAAGAAAACCCAGAGAGATGTCCAGTTCTATTGTTTGAAAAATATTTAAACTTCAGGTAAATAGTTTTTAGTTTTTGAAGGGATGAGCTCCTCTAAATAATTGCTGCTCCAACTTACTCATTTAAACGATCATTTTTTCATAATTAAAATCCGACCTTTGGTACCTCAATAATTTCATAATTGCGTAAGGGAGGAGGACAGTTTGAGTTCAGATCCTTTACATTCTGATTGTAATAACGCTGCTAAAACATTCTTGAGGAAAATGATTTTGGGGTTATATAGTTTCATATATGGTAAGATATACATTTATCTAGATTTTATTAATAACAGTACCTTCCCAAATTTCCTACTGAAAAATCAGACTGCCCCTTTAGAATTACTTTTTTTTATTGATATTACAGACCCAGTAATTGTAAGAATGACCTATTTACCTGCAACCCAGAAAGCTCCACAAAGGAAATGATTGGTAGACATCTAACCTAATTGGCATCCACACTCTACAGAATATAGTGAAAGATATGTGTTCCAGGGCAGGATTTTCTGGCAATTTTTCAAAGTATTCGCTCAGAGCTACTGCAGCAACGCGATTGTATAATGCCGGGATTGACGACCAACTGATAAGGGAAAAAACCGGCCATCGTTTAAACGCCGTGAGAGTATATAAACGGACATCTGAGGATCAATTAAATAATATCAGTGACATTGTTCAAAATAAACGAAGGAAATGCTCAGATGATGGTGCTGCTGATGTTGGTAAGAAATCAAGTGATGGTGATGGACATTAAAAGAACTTAATTTTGAACAAGGAAATTTTAAAATCCACATGAAATTTTGATAATTTCCATAATAGATGTTGTAAATCATATGTTTATTTGTAATTAAAATGTGTTTATTTCACTCGCTAGTCACACCATTTTCTTGTCCCGCTTCAATAAACAGTCCAATAATTCCGCCATTTTGTATCACTTATTGATACTCTGGGCACTTTGCCAGTACCAATAAGTTGGATATTAGAACTCGAAGAACAAAGGATTACGTCACAACCCTATTTTAAGGTGGTTTAATGTCAAAACAGATTTTAAATTTTAAGTTTTTCACAGTTATTGCACACTTGGAAGTTCAAGGTCACTTAAAGTCAATATTGCGCATGTCCACCATTAGAGTCAATTACTGCTTGACAGCGTCGCCTCATCGATGACGTCAGATTCTGGATGAATTGCTGTGGAATGTTTGCCCACCCCGCCTGTAACGCATTCACAAGTTGCTGCAGGGATTGCGGTGCAGGTTGTCTTTGACGAACGCGTCTGTCCAATTCATCCCAAAGATGTTCTATGGGGTTCAAATCTGGCGATTTGCAGGGCCATGGAAGCACATCAACGTTGCTTCGCTGAAGGAATGCTGTTGTTATTCGAGCTGTATGCGGTTTGGCATTGTCCTGTTGGAAGATTCTGTCATTATTCCGCAAAATTGGAAGAACGTGTGGTTGCAGAATTTCATCACAATAACGCTGAGCCGTCAGATTGCCATTGATGTGAACCAAGTTGGTCTTTCCAGTATGTGATATGGCTGCCCACATCATAACGCTTCCACCACCGAATCTGTCGACTTCCTGGATGTAGTTAGCATCAAAACGTTCATTTCGTCTTCTTTAGACCCTTGCCCTGCCACCTGCCCGTTGTAAAAGAAACCTGGATTCATCGCTAAACCAAACTCTTCTCCATCGCTGCTGTGGCCATACTCGATGTGTTCGAACCTATTGCAGTCTGTTTTGACGATGTCGTTGGCTCAGAATGACACCTCGAACAGGACGTCTAGCTCTTACCCCAGCATCTCGTAGACGGTTCCAGATTGTTTGGTCTGAGATCCAACGTCTTCCAGGAGTGGATGAAGCAGTGTTGCTGTTGTGAACCGGTCACGTAAATGACGTACTCTGATATAGCGATCCTGAGCAGCAGTTGTCACCCTTGGTCGACCTGACCTAGGACAACATCGATCCTATACCAAAGGCGAGAGATGGTACTCTGGCGTTGTTCCGTTGGGCTTCATTTAGACGTGGCATAACTCATTCGTTTGCTGTCATAAGGTAATACTGATTTCAAAACCGAGAACCCCTGCCATTTACAGGCTGTTAGTCTAGGTTTCATGAAAAAAGCATGTGGTATCGATTTATTCATGTGGATCGAGCCAATCAAGCAAATTCAAATTCGGCCAAAATCTAGGACAGGCCGCGTAAATGACGTTTAATTAAAAACCAGTTTGTTTTAAAATCCACCTTAACCTGAGATGCAAAACTGTTTATTCTGATGCGTCGGTGATTAAGTGCTAAAGAGTTCTCGGGACGTTTTCGAGGCAAAATTTGAGACCAGAAATTTTGGTTTTCGGGGAAGGGAGGGTTTCATTCTCCCAAATGTACAGGCCTAGGGTGGAGCAGACACTTTATTTAGAACTTAGGATTAAGGGTCTTGATATTGGGTTTTCTTCTGTTCTTATTCTGTTCTGAAATTAGAAAAATAACTCGCCCGATGGGCGAGAAGTATAGTATCTGTTATGTGCTGATTGTTTTTAGTTTACTATGAACAATATTAACATTTAAGTTCTTATTTTTTGAATATGCAACTATCATTTTCTGCTTATAGACATGGGGGAATTTCTCTTGAAGGCTCTTATAGTGGGCATGAACTATCTTGCTTGCTCGATTGCTGGTTGTATTAAACGGGACAACAAAGGGTGCTATGCCTACATTATGATGAATATTTAGTCCTATAGGTCTTGCTGTATTCAATGTCTCAATCCAATGGGCTTCCCTAGATTGACGGAATTTGGTAGTTTCATCTTCGGGCAAGTCAATTTCTATACGCTCAATTGGGATTAGGGCGAGATCGTCTATTGAATGGTCGTCGAGGTTGAAATGATTAAAAACAGGCTTGTCTTTCTTTAATTTGATGTCTGACCTATGAGCATTAAAGCAAGTTCGTAAATTATTCATAGTTTCTCCTACATATTGTTTTGGGCATTTCTTGCATAAAATTAAATATATTACATTCGAATGTTCACATGTTAGATGTTCCTGGATCGGGTACCTTTTATTCGTAGAGTTGCTTACAAAATAATGAGTTTCTGATATAAAGGGACATGTTTTGCATCTACTGGACAAACATGGAGCACTTCTTAAACCTGGAGGTACTACTTCAAATGGACCGAGGGGCAACACCTCACGTTCCCACTCTGCCATGAAAAGGTTTGCGTACGAAGGGGCGAATCGTTTGCCCATTGCTGTCCCTGAAGTTTGTAAATATGTTTTACCATTAAATGTGAAATCGTTTCGACTAAGACAAATCTCTAAAAGCTGTAGAATTGCATCGTCGGGTCTGTGTGGATCTGGGTTTCTATTAAAAGCTTTACGAACTGCCGTTAAACCAGTAGTGTTATCGATATTGGTATACATAGAAGAAACGTCGATAGAAATTAAAATAGCATTACAGGGAACTCGAAGAACTCGGTTGTGTCTTTAAGGTAGGCGCGATTTCGACATGCTAGAGGTAGTAAGAAATGATCAATGTATTCTGACACTGCATATGACTCACTACCACAGTCAGATATAATCGGGCGGCCTTTAGGGATTTTATTCGAGATAAACCACTCCTTGGTTGGATTCTTATGGATTTTAGGCAACGTGTACAAATGTCTCTCGCGACAATCAGGTTTGGCAGACAGATAGTCATATTGTTTCTGTTTGAGATAACTAGTTTTGACTAAATCGGCAAGAATATTGTTAATCATGTTAGCAGTTCCTTTGAAAATTGGTTTTGGTAAAATGGCATAATGTTTAGGGTTATTCAGTTGATTCTCTGCTTCTGCCCTATTCAGAATGACACAACATGAACCTTTGTCACTCTTTTTAATAACAATGCTATCGTCTTTCTTAAGTAAGTTTAACGCTTCACGTTCCACTCGTGTGAGATTAGGCTTTTCGTGTGTTTTGGAAAGGTTCACTGTTTGGCTATTCATACTCGCAACTGCTTTCAATATTTCAGGATGGATGGCGGCCTGAGGGGGTGTCCACGTGGATTTAGGAATAAACATTGTTCTAGCACCACGTGGGAGTGTTTTCGAAAAAAATATGTGCAGCTAAGATTTCGTTGAAATCGTTCAATGGATGGTCGGAGATAATTCAAGTTAGCTTTCTTTGGTGTGGGAATAAATTTAAGTCCACGGTCTAAGATTGAATGCTGAAGGGGTGTGAGACGTTTTCGAGGCAAAATTTGAGACCAGAAATTTTGGTGTTAGGCATAAGTGAAGAAATATATTTGAATGTTGTACAGAGAATTTGTTGGAGTGCATATGATTTGATATGACCTAGATCATTCCCACCACAATGTATAAAGAGGGTGTCAGGTGGACTTTCAATTGTGATAAGGAATTTTACCTTGCGCTTCAAATTCTAGTCCCAAATTCAGTCCTCCGGGCCGATCATGGGCATGAATACTTGCTCATTTGATAAAAGATGATCCTACATACCACACCCTAGTTTGTGGTACATCTAAAACATTAGAAATTGTTTATTACATTCGATATAGGATTGATATGCTTTCGATTTCCACCTTCCAGCAATCTGAATATCTTCCTTTGAGTGTTATATCAGAGCTGCAGATGTAGCTGCGCCTATACGTAATGAATGAGCTTTGTAATGCCTTGCCCTAAATAACCTAAGGATTTTCGTAACATACCTGAAAATTGAGATCGTGGTAAGGGGGAACCACCATAATGACTTAACAAGGGGCCTGGAAAAGTAGGACGCAACTTTAGGAAATTTTGCATGTGAACAACAGGACAGATTGAAGTTCCTATAGCAAAAATGGTAATTGATCAGTTTTTGAATATCTAAGAGTCAGATCAATTTGAGAGTCGTTTATAAGTAAATCTTTTACACCCACAATATAGTTTATACCCTTTGTCAACGAAAGCTCACCTACTCTAAAGTGCCTACAAAATGCAAGAGTATATGCTGCCCTAAATAATTTTGTCTCATACTCATTGAAACACACTGCTGGTAAAATTGAAATTATATTATGCAAAAGTGGGAAAGTGATTGGTAAACGTGAATCTGATCTATGTTTAGTGTGACACATTCCCACCAGTAGTTTGCTTATTATGAAGTGTTTTGTTGTGTCTGGGAAATTAGGAATTTTACATTAGAAACTTATTGCAGCAATATAAGTACGCACTGTAGAATAGGCTAAGCCCTTTAACGAAATATCAACAATGGACGTAACAATCTGATCTAGAAAGGTAATGTCACGCATGGCTGGCTGTCTTTTTCAGTTTCACACCATCGAAAATAACACAATTCCGTGTCAAAAAAAGCACCGCTTCCAAGATTATGAGTGCCGGCACTGTCAGTATATAGGCTGAAAATATCATTCGAGATCCAAATATTAAAGTTTTGCAGAAAATTCAACCAAACCATCAAATCAGATTTAATC